ATGAAAAAATTTGCGGTTCACTTATAAGATTACGTGTATATAATTTGAAAGTTTAGTTGCCTTGTATTTATTATGATTATTTTTATTATTAATATTTTATTTATTATTAAAGATCGGAAGATTTAAATTATTTGCTAAAAGTAACTAGATGTCTTTTAAATTTGGTAATTTAGAAAGTTTTTAAAGATTGTATAATATAAAGGAGGTTTGTTTAATGAAATGATGGAAATAAGAGAAAAGGAAGAATATTTACATATTGAAATTCATTATTTAAAGTTATTTCGTATATTTTTTTCTTGGAGTAATTTAATTATGAATTTAAATTATTGTTGAATTAAATCACTTTTAGATTTTAAATAACTTTCTATAAATGTAAGTTATTTAGGTTTTCAAATTTCATATGCGTAATAATTTCATTATAAAATGGTTGCATTTAATAATAGACGTTATACACGATTCTTGCCAAAGATATTTTGTTTATTCATCATCGAGATATTTTGATATGTATAATTAATAATAAATTATATTTAAAATGAACGATATATTATCACAATTCTCTCTTTTTCTTTTTTACAGATAAATATAATCAACTCTTACAAATATTCTCAAGTCATATATAATTTACTTAATTTGCAAATATTTTATTCTCTATATTATAAACATAAGCAATTATATAAAAATAATTTTTAAAAATCATATATTTAAATCAATGAAATACTTTTCAAAAATCACATATATATCTCCATCCTTTCCAAAGTTAAAATCATTGCAAAAACCTATCAACGACAATTTATTTCTTAAATGCAATGAAACAAAACGAAATAATTCAACTCACTATAAATCATTCACACAATTCGAATAATTAAAAAAATAATTACCATCAACTTCGAAAAGAAATAAGATTCGATTCAATCACGATCGAAATAGAATAACTTCTCCTTGACAAAAACCACATTTCACTCTTAAAAAAATACACGCATAAACACACGTCCTCCACTGCGTCCTCCTAACAATCTTTATACCCTCAATCTCAATCTCTTCCTCAAAGCATCCATCCCTGAACAATCTAACTGCGGAATAATGAAGCTCTTCTCGGTTTATACCATGCGGCACTTACGCCTCGATAGTCTAATTTATAATAGACTGGAATACCGATGTGTAGATTTAACTTGGGATGTAGGCCACACAGTGGCATGTGGACGCGCGTCCGGATAGCGACTACCTCCTGAACGTCGTCCAAACTTCTCCTCCGGGACGATCGAACCCGAAGAGGCGAGGGAAAACGATCAACGAGACAGGTGTATTCGGATTCGACGGGTTTATTCTTGAAACTTGTGTACGTAGCACGCGATTCACGCTGCTGAAATTAGGCGTCGTTATAACTGGATCGGTTTATTCAGACTTCAGCCGAGTTGAGGAGGATTCATTCGTCTTTTCATCATTTTGACAAGCAATGGTGAATGATTTGAGAAAAATTGGATGGATTGCGTAGGAAGTTAGAAAAAAAAAGGTGATAAATTTGTTTTTTTTTTTTTTTTAAGTTGATTGATTCGTGAAAGAAATTGTTGTTGTGAAAGATTTGATGGAAGAAGAGATATTGTTTGGATTTTTTTTTTTCTTTAATAATTTGTGAATTTTTTAGTGTTAGTGCTTAATGCTTAGAATCTTAAAACGTTAAATGTGAAGTAGGTTGTGAAGTAGGTTGTGATTGTGAAAAAGATATTTAGATTTTGGTTTTATGAGGTTTACGAGAGATTAAATCGTAAAAATAAATCGACGTGTGATTAAATCAAAATTAAATCGTAGTTTATTGAAGAGAGAGAAGAGTCTCATGTGAGTTGAAAATAAAAGTTATAATTATATAATATTTTGTAGATAATTAGTTTTTATAAAAAAAAAGAAAGGAATGGATTATATGAGGTGAATGTATTTAATTTGAATTTAATATTTCTATATTAAAATTACTTTAAAATTACTAGTTTTTATTTTAATTTTATTTTAGCAATTTAGATTTATCGCAACATATTTTAGTTTTAATTTAGCTTAAAAGTTATTTAAAATTATAGAAGCCAGTGCCAAAATGATCTTCAAACAAAATACATATAACATCATTCTTAAGTCCTATACATTTTCTCCAATATATTTTAATTTCATCAAAATATTCAAATATAAAGATAAAAATATTCTTTTTTTTTTCAAGAAATAATTTATAATATTTTTAAGAAAATAAAACAAAATAAACTACAACATACAGATTCGTTGAGAAAGAAATTATTACAAATTGCAAAGACAAGATATTTAACAAAATATCCAAATACTTTACTTAATCTAAATTGTTATCAAATATAATAACAAGATAACAATAATTCAGATATTTTAAAAATCCTTTAATTGAAAGAAGTGAATTCAATTTCAATTAACATTTTTTTCCACACATTCATTTTTCGATCAACAACGTCCCCTATGATTATAATCATTACACTGACACAATGAATACAAATAATTATCATCGAAAGTAATTTTTTGTTTCCTTCTTCCTTTCAGAAATAAATTTCAACAACGACATCATATTTTCGACCACGTTCATCGTCATTCATAGCCTCGATCAACGATGTCCCCTATGATTGTAATCATTACGAATTCCCCGCGTCGCATGTTTATGGATCGACCTAGGCAAAGCATGTGAGCAGCGTATCATGAACGCGTATATAAACAAGATTCGCGCCCGCTCATTCATAAGTTTATGGCGCGTGAAATCGTGGCGCAGAAATTTACATACCGCGCTCACTGTTCCGCGTATCTTCTATCCGGAACTTAAACCGCGACACCCTCCGCTGGGACACTGGCCACTCGTTGCAAACAATACCGTGTAATTATCACGGTGCTTGTTTGTCGAATTACACGGGTTATTAACCGATCTTGGTGCTACTATGATATTTAATTAAACATCTCTATCTTTTCTAATGAAACGTGTAATATATTATTGAAAATGTTGTTGGACAAATTTTATAATTATATTCCTTTCTTTTTTTTTCAGATATTTAAATGAAGTAAATACGGATGATAAGATATAACTATTGATGACTATTTTAACACTTAATTGGTAGAGTAAAGTGATTTAAATTGGTTTATCGTATATAATTTTTTGAATGTTATAACAATATTTTAATTAGATTTTAGATTATAAGTAATTGACAGCATAAGTTTAATTTAGAGGACATTTTTGTTCATTGATATCCTAAAATTGTATAATTTAACTCAAATTTAATTCATGTACTTTATAAATATTTATTTCGAAATTTGATTCGTATAATCTCAGAATTTTATTAATACGAACTCTTATACATATATTCAAATTAATATCCCGTATATAAAATATCGTCAACAATAACTCTCAGTCATAAATATTTTAAATTAAAAATCCTTTAATCACCACTAGCCTTTTCATCCCAAAAAAGAAACCATAAAAATCTCAAACACAATACCAATACAATTTATCTTCATATGCATACATTCCATCCAAAAAAAAAAAAATCAATATCCCTCAAGAAATATATCCAATTACTTAACCTGACTCACGAAAAAGAATCAATGCCTAAACAGTATTAACAAACAGAATTAACAAACACATTTCTCGAACGCGTTTATCTTGCCCAACAGAGAAAGAAACCATCTTTTTCCTCTCGCCACTAATCTCTTTACAAACTTAATTCTGTTATACCCGAAGGCCACTTAGGAAAACCGATCTCCATCGAAACCGAAACCGAAACCGATCCACAGCTCTATGACCCCACGATCTTCCACCTGGTAGGGTGGTAACTCGTGCTAGCACGCGCGAGGCGTGAGGAGCGAGTTGACTCGTTCCTCGCGGCCGTTCCTCGTTTTCTGGGGTAATTTTAGATCGGCGAGATAGCACAGTTCACGTGTGATCGCGTGTGTTACACGCGCGCGCTTAGGCGTGTGTTAGGTGTGGGTGGAAAGAGAAAAAAGAGAGAGAGAGAGAAGGGGAAGGAGAGGGGAAAGAAATAACAGAATATGGAGGGGTGAAAAAAAGAAAAAAGGAAAGAAAGAAAAATGAAAAAAGGGATTCGATGAGGAAAACGAGAACGGTGTTTACGAAAGAAAAAACGGATGGACGGGGAAAGGGAGGAAGAAGGAGGGAAGAAGGGAATTCCTTTGGGAGAAGGTTAGATACGAAGGAGAGGATCAGGGTGACGGGATAGCGATGGGATTAATTCGATTTCCACAGTAAGGAGAGAGACCTAGATTCGAGAGTTTAAAATGATTTGGAACGCGGTAATTGAATTTGACTTGGTTTTATTCATTGGGTAAGTTATTTTTTAGATGGTTGACTTAAATGTTTATTGAATAAATATTAAAAACGTGAATATCTAATTTTAATTATATCTAAAAAATAATTAAGAATTATTTCTAGAATCGTGCAATCTTTCTCTAATTACCAATTATATGTATAAAATGTAAAATTCATAATATATTATCCTTAATTTATGCCAATTTATTTTTTATTGTACTATGAGAAGATTAATTTGTCGAGTATCACTATTTATCAATTATTTCTTTCAAAATATAATCCGTTATTTAATACATAATTAAAATATAATTATGAGATGATAATTGATTGAATTGATAAGTTTGAAATAATGAAGATATTTTTCAATACACTTAAGAAATTTCGAAACCGTGACTAATTTACAATTCTCTCCTTACTCGAATCGATTCATATCACCTCGAACCCATTACTACCCGATAAAGATGGCGATAGATCAACCCAAGACGAAAAAAGATCAGGAAACGGGAGCGAAAGAGAGAGAGAGGAGTAGCGAGGAACGTTGGAGAGGTGGTGGAGCCAAGCTCGAACGAGAGGCGTGGAGAGAAGAAGAGAGAGAGAAAGAGAGGGAGAGAGAAAAGGCAAGAGGCCACGAGTGAGTGGTCTACTCTACCGCAGTTATGCCGACCGGCTCAACTCGGGTGCCGCCAAATCGAACCCCGGTTCGAATTCCGCACTACCGTGGCCGCGAGAAAGAAACCGAGGAGGAACAAGAAGAGGGCGAGGACGAGGACGAGGAAAAGGAAGAAGAAACAAAAACAACGAAGGAAAGATCGGTAAAAAAAGGTGACCGAAAAAGGAGAGGCGAAAAAAAAAGAAAAGGAAAGAAAAAGGCACGTGTGTCGTGTGAGAAAGAAACAAGTAAAATAGGAGAAAGAAGGGACAAAGGGAAAAGGTACGTCGCGTGAAGAAACTTCCTGCCTTCCTGTGTACCTGTGTAGAAAAAACAAGGGGTCCAAAAGAGGTGGGATGGCCGCGGGGTAGAGGATGGGGGCAGAGGCGCGTTCGACGATGGAGCAGCGGGTCGAGTGATAAAAAAGCGAGTAAAAAAGCGAGCAAGAAGGTTGGACAGCGTGCTCCCGGTCGTTAGTGAGGTGCAAGTAAAAGAAGGATGAAAAAGGCATTGTTGCTCGAGCCGAGTCCACTCTTGTGTTTTTTTGTCTTTTTCCTCTCTCCATCCTTCTTCTTTCCCTTCCATTTTTCTTTTCTCTCTTTCTTTCTTTTTTCTTTCTCTCTTTTTTTTTTTGCTTCTTTAATGCCCACTTCTTTTTGACTCAAGTGAATGTGTGTCGCGTGTGAGAAGGTTGGAGTTTTTTTTCACGTGCTTTGGAAGACTAACGTGGTTAAAACGATGTTGTGTTTTTTTTGAAGAAAAAAAGAGGAAAAAAAGAAAGAATAAAAGATTTGTGGTAATTTTTTTTTTCTTTTTCTCTGGTGTGTCGTTTCGAAGGAAAGGGACGGGAGAAAGATTTTGGAGTAAGGAATCACGTGAGAAGAAGAATTGGCGATATTTTTTTCGAAGATGGAAAGCGTGGAGTTGTACCTTCGGGGTCGTGGATATTTTCTGCGACGATGATTCAGAGACGGGCAGCGATCATATGGCGCGTATTTACGACGCGAAACGATCGTGATTCGACAGCGAGAGATTGACAAGCGGGACAAGAGGTATAGTGAGTGTATGATTTTCAATAAAATTTTGTAAAATTTTTTTCTCAAGTTCTTTCTTCGACTTTTAGAAATATTTTTGTGTAAGTATGAACTACTGTGAATATAAACGCGTTATTCAAAACAAATGGATATTTGTTTACGTACTGGATACAGTTATATACTTTAATCTTCTTTAATTTTTTATAACCAAATTTTTGCTTATTTATGAGAAAAAATCATAACTTAATCATTTATTATTTTCTCATATTCTTAATTTGATATCTGAGAAGTAAACAATTGATGTAAATAAAAGATTTTTTGTTGATATGATAATAAATATAGTAATAAATATAGTAGATTTTGTTTAATATAGCGTTATATTATAGTTGAAGAATTTATAAAAAAAAAAAATAAAATAAAATAAAATAATTCTCTAGTAATGTTTTATTCATTATTTGCGACAATTTTTTCATCTTTTTAATAAAAAAAATAATTCTATTAGAGCGAGAAAAGATTTACGAGCAAAGAATTGAAGGAAACTGGCAAAAATTTGCGACAAGAAAAATATATTTCTAGATTGTCCGCGTGTCAGCTGTTCGACGATTGTCAGACACTGGTCGCTGAAAATTTTCACTGTTTTCTTTTCCGCCTATTAATACCCGACTGTTTGGATTACGAATGGTGGTTTTAGGAATCCACATACGTCTTCCCTTTCGTTCCATTCACGAGGAATGTATCTTCATTTGGAAATTTATTTTTCATCCACGAGTGGTCTTTTGATGTTTTGCACTTTTTGGTTTTCGATTCTTTTATTTTCTTGAAAAAAAAACGCGCAAGAAATGGTATTTTCATCTTCTCTTATTTGTTAGAGATATTATTTTGTTGGTTTTTCAGTTAAATATTGAATTTGAAATATATATAAGTTACATTTAGTTTATTTCTTTTATTTGTTTTATTGTTCCTCCGAGTAATTTATACTAAATTCTATCAAACTATAAAAATAAATATCAATGAATGCGAAAGAAAAGATAAAACAATGATATTTATAAAAAAAATTTTATATTTTTTTCATAAATTTCATATTTTATTTCTTTTCTAATAAATAATATTAAAAAAAAAGTTCATTAACAATAAACAATTCATTAACAATAATTTCGATTCTTCTCTTCGAAACGATTCCTCTTTCGTCGAAAAAGCCTCACCTACAATCCAAACCAAACACAATCAGTAATCACGTGAGCCATAAATGCGCGCTAAATTCCACTTAACGGCCTTCGACCAATCTCTTCCCATTTCACGCTATTAACCTTCATGAAGGAAAAATAAGAGAGAAGCAATTCCAAGACCAAACGTGTCCTCCACCCCTTAATTCCACCTCATAAACTTCTTTTTCGTCCACTCCGCTTTCCAACATGGAAAATCTTAATTCTTAAAAGGAGAAGAAAGGAAGAAAGCATCAGGATTGCCCGAATATTCGTTAACCAAGCCAGAGATGTGGATTGTGATGATAATCGTAGTTCGAAATGAAAAAAAAAAATTTTTTTCCTTTTTTTTTCAGTTAACCGCGTCACTTTATTGCCACCCCCGTCCTCCACCGTTTTATTGCGTTGCAACAGCCTCGAAATGACTTTGCAAAGTTTCACAGTGGTGGTTAAAACACAGTTGCACCCTTGAAATATAGAACGACAGGGGATGATCGTTTTATCGGGGCCCTCATTTTTCTGACGCAATTCTGTGGATCTCGATTTTTTTTTCGTTTATTCTACCCGAGGAAAATGAAATTTTCCTTGTCAGCCATGTGAGCCGGGGGACAAGAGAAGGGGAGAGGGTGGAATCGTTGGGGTAGTTCGACGTGTGTTTTTGACAAGGCTAATTGGAGAGGTTGGAGAGTGAAGAAGGGATGAAAATTCCGGTGCCACTGAGTGGAACGGACTTTGAGACTGTTTAACTGTTCCCTCTGCACTTTTATTTTTTTGTTTTTTTTTTTTTTTTTTTTGTTTTCTTTTTAGATATAAAGTCTACATTCATGTTTAGGAGTTTGGTTGAAATTGGGTTTCTAGATGGAAAAGGAGGTATTTGAGGAAGAAATTTCTTTTATAAGATTCTTGTATTTCTGTTTATTTTGTGCCTGAAAAGTTGAGGAAATTTTAATTAAGAAATTTAAAAAAAAAATTTTTTTAAATTTTCGAATATGGATTTATTTTTTTGCTTCCATTTAGTTAATTTGTGTTTAGAAGATTGAAGTTAAATAATTTGTCAATATGGAATGTGAAATGAAACGTTTGAAAGTTTAAGAAGTGTCTTTTATTTTTATAATAGTTATTTTAGCAAAAGCAAATTTTGTGCTTTCTATATTATTAGAAATTGCTCCATTTATCTAAATTACTAATTAAGTCAATATTATATATATAGTATGTATAATTCATTTGTGAGAAAGTTTTCAAAGTAGTTATTCATGGCTTATCAAATTATATTTTTTTAATAATTACACTGAATAAAAGCGCTTTATACTAATAGTTAAACACCATATATATTCATTGATTTTATAAACAATTTCAAATCTACTATCATCTAAAAATAAAAAAAATTTTAAATTGAATAAAAATTTTAAAAAAAAACCTTAACTTTCATATTCTCAAATTTTTTTCCTCAACAAGATAATCAATATAAAAATGTAAATAAAAACACGAACAAAACATGAAAGAAAACATCGTGTTAAATCTCAAAACAAGAGAAGATGAAGAATTTCTTCGATTTTTTTCTCGTTTTATAGGAAACAGGATATAATTTATTGCTTGAAATCTAACAGGATGGTTGAAATAAAACTTTTAAGTTTTCGAACATCGACATCATGCTATTTTAGCATCGACTGATGTTTTATAAAAAAAAAAAAGAAGAAGAAGAAGAAAAAGATCGTTTGTCGAAAATTAAGTTTCTAATCAATTAAGTTTTCGTCACGATGCATTTGGCAGAAATGAGAGCAAACATTTATCTCACATCGTTGATGAGAGCTTTAATATAGTTCTTTCTTTACACGCTGAAATCTCGTTTTTTATTTTCGTTGAAAAAGTTCTGATTAGCAAAATGAAACAAAATGTCCAGTAAGATAAACATTTCTTCAGATGGGAAAGATTATTTTCTTGGAAAATAAAATTACAAGATGAAAATGTTTGTTGAATAGAATTAAAATTTGATATATATCGAGTGAAATCGTTGTAGCGTAATGCAAACGTGATGTGTTATTGTTTAAAAGTTTTTTTTAAACAATATTAATATTTATTGCATTTTGTGAAAGAAAACAAAATATAAATAATAATAGTCTATTTATACATCGAATCGAGGCAAATATCTAATACATTTATTCTTCCTAATATATTTTCTATGTTATTTTTGCAATCTTTCGTTTAATTTATGTATATATATTAATTCAATGATTTTATATTAATTATAGGATTTTAATGTATCATAATATTCATGTAATATAAAATATTTCTTTCATGAAATATATATAATTCCAAACATTTAATGATAAAAAATATAATACTTTTAACTTACTTCTGACAAAAATCATCTACACACTCTGAAGCCAAAAGATCATTTCAATAAGTCCATTAAGAATACGCTCACCTGAAAAATAAAAAACAGAAATACAAAATAAATATTAATACAAATAAAGAAATATAAAAATTCAATTTTATTGCACCAACCATCCCCATTATTATCGAATCAATTCCCAATCCACCCTCCTACGTCTATCGAAAACTTTCGATTTCTTTCCTTTCACCTTCTTCCTAGTCGGCCAATCCCCTTTTTCAAACTTCTCGAATAGTCACGAAGCTTACCATTCTCATTCCATCGATATTCTCCTAACCCATGAATCATTTGCATCCTCTGAAATTTCATATTATCATCCCTCCATTTCGATTTGAAAAATTTTCACAGGTCAATTTATTTTCCCCACATAGATATTTGAACACTTGTCTTTTTTAATAAACAATCGATACACAATTTATAAAATGATCTTTATTATTTAATTCTATTATGAATATATATAATATTATATTTAATATTATATTTAATATTTAATAAGATCTAATGGTATTAAAAAAAAAAATTATTAAAAGTTTATACGACATAATGCCGCACTAAAAATTATAAACTAAAAATAATGATAAAATTATTAGTCAAAATATCGAAATCATATAAAAATATATATATGTGAGTACGAGATGAATATATCGACGAGGAAGAAATTTAATTTTTATTGACGAGATATTAAACGTATCGTTGAATGCATATTCTCTAATGTGGAACAAAGAAAATATTTAAAATTTAATAGAATTCATAATAAACACGTTTGATCACTAATTTAAACATAAAATATAATAATAAACTTGGAATTATTTTAAAGCAGAGAAAATATTCTATCACTAAAAAATCACAAAAATTCGTATTTGAAATCAAAATTCAAACAAAAATAAAACAATAATAAATTCATCAAAAAAAAAAAAAAGATCCAAAATGTAATGAAACATTAAAACTCGAAAAAACACGAGAACTGAATATATTGGAAAACTTTTTAATACATAAATCCCCATCATGCAACATCCAATGTCAATATTTTTAAGATAACTTTTACAACAAATCTGTCAAATCTACTTATGAATGATCCTCGAATTCTTGAATCGCAAGTTGGACCCCGCCATATTTGGAAGGGGTTTGATTCACGGGTGGCGCGACACAGGGGTGTGAGTGCACGGTAACCCGCTTTCGAGGACAGGACGATAACCCAAGTTTAAATTGGAGGGTCGGCCACTTAAGATTCAGTTCCATAAACTGGAAAGTTCGGCCCCACTTTCTATCCAGGGGTGGTAACCCCCGACGCTGCAATTAGACGAGTATTTTTCGATCGAATTCAATTAGCCCCCGAAACTCGAAATCGCGGCGACGAAGTTAGTTCGCCGCGTCTGGCCGCCTCGTGCATCGAATCTCGTGGGCGAAACTCGCGTCTTTCAAGGCCAGTCGCCGTGATTTATTTTATCGTGGAAACCGGAAGCTTTGGATTTTCTGAATGGAGTTATCGGCCACGTTGTTATCCACGCGCTTTCCGCTCCCGAGAAATGGTTTTTGGAGTTCGTGATGTGGCTCGATTTACGCGAATGCGGATGGAAGTAGAAAGTATTCGCGTGTTTGTGAATAGAAAAGTTGAAGGAAAGTTGTTTTTATCGGTTGACGGATAAAAAATTCTCCTCACGAAAGTTTTCAACTCGTTAACTTTTTAATATAATGATTTTTAGTGGAAGATCAACACATTTTTATCAAATCTCTCTTTTTATTTTTATATTTGTACGCGTCATCATGTTTACAAGATTGAAATTGTTGCAAAGTTTTCGTACGATTACTATGAATCATCGAAATCTGCGTTCTTCGCAGAGATATATATTGTTGATCAAATATTTAAAACCACTTCGTGGAAATTTATTCTTCACAAAAAAACGAAGAATTTGAAGAAAATTAGATTAAGATATTGCTAGAGCGAAAAATTTCAATAATAAAAAAAAAAAAAGAAACCAAAGAAATTCTTATCCGTCCTGAAACAACATTAAACCGAATTACCCCTCGATCACAATTATCCATCTTTGAAAATTCATTCTGTTTTATGATTCACTCGGTACACGTTTAAACTCTTCTCTCCGTCTTCGAGCCACTTCAAACTACTTCGAACCACTTCGAACCACTTCAAACCATCTTGTCACCGATTCTTCTTCCACGCGTTGAAAACCCAATCCACCGAGACAACAAACTCCCCCCTAAAAATCGCGCGAACGAGCAAGAGCACGGTTTCGGAGCATCAAACGGTGCGCAAAGTCGGGGGCAGCGAACCACGGCAAGGATCGAGAGCGTTTGCGGAGGGAAAGTAGTTGTCCTGTGCGAGGCCAGCTGGCGTTGCGCGACCGCATGTAAATCATCCGCAACAGGATCAGCCGGCCGAAACCACGTGTACGCGTACTTCTGCGCGCACTTACGCGGAACGACGCCGATGCACATGTTAACGTGACGCGAGTAAACGTCGACAACACGTGTCGCGCGAGTAATCCATGGCTTGTCGTTACCTCGACCGTGTCGCGAGTGCACACGACGCGCGCCTCACTCGTGTCTCTCTCTCTTTTTGCATTGATTTTCCATCGCAATTCGCTATTTTTTGCTGAAAACTTTGAATCGTTTCTTTAGATTCCGTGAATTTTTTAAAAGATTTGGTGGATTTGGTGGAAGATTTTTAGGGAACGCTTAGGTTCCTTGGATTTGAATTGCACGAATTCTTTGCTTCTCTTGAATTATCTTGTACGAGTGTGTGTGTTTATCTTGGATTCATTATTTGAAGTATTACAGTTAGTATGAATATATATTATAGAACCATAATAACTCGGATATTTAAATCACGTTACAGGAAGATTTATGAACAAATTACGAAGGGAATCTTAAGAAAATTAAATTTTCCCTAGATCGTGTAATTTCATCTTAACATCTCGTCTGCTTTACGTCGTCGGGTTTATCGAACGTAACCAATGACCATCGAAATACGTATTGAAACTCGCAACCGGAAATCGTTAAATTGCGCCACTACCAGGTGGCCTTATAGTGTATTTTGCGTCTCAAAAATGTTTCTGAACCAAATTCGCGTCGAAATATAATCTTGATTCAATTTCTATTTTCGCGATAATAATAATTTGTATACACATATAACGTTCGGAATATTTGAATTGATGTTTCTGAATCTTACCAATGAAATTTGTATTACAATTTTTTTCTCTTTTTTTTCGTTTATGAATAAGAAAAGAATATATTTATATAATAGAATTTGATATTTTACGTTTTTTTTTTAAATAATTCCTTTACTTACCTTTGCTTAATACACAATGAAGTTAAATATTATTGTAAGAATTTTAAATTTAATGATAAAAATTGAAATTCTAACAGAATCTTGAGAATTTAACATCTCTTCCTTTTACGTAATTTATTTTTCTTTAGCATTCTGTGATTTTTCACTTGTGATATTATTTACGAAAGATAAATGCAATTTATTATCCAATTGGAAATTTTACATTTTCATGTAATTATAAATTATTGATAAGATTAGAGTTTTATTAAGGATTATATATATATATATAATTATTTTAAAATAAAAAAAAAATAAAAAATTATTTTAAAATATATATATAATTATTTTAAAAAAAAATATATATATATATATAAAATAATTATCGTTTTTTATAATTTAATTATAGAAGTTTATTTTATATATATATATAAAATAATTATCGTTTTTTATAATTTAATTATAGAAGTTTATTTTATAAATTACAATTATTCTTCTTAGTAATTAGGAAAAACATTAAGGATTACATTTTCCATTGTTTCCAACAAAAAAAAATACAATCATAACATCATTTTAAAATCATTAATTATTTTAAAAAAATACTATTCTATATTATATGTTTTAATTCCAATTTTTTCATTAAAAATTGATATATCCATTTAAAATTAAGCAAAATGCTTGTAAAAGAATAGAGAATTAATCACGAGGCTGGCATGTGACACGTGAAAGGACATTCGTTAATCCCTCTCCACTCCCTCGTCGTTTGATAAGTGTCACGCACGTCCTTAACGAACCCTAAGTTTTTGTCCTGGAGTGCAACAATTTTTGGAATCCCTACGATTTACACGCGGCATTAAGATGCATCCAGCTTCAAATGAACGTGATTACGCCCACGAATATTTCGTCGAAAGTGACGGGGAGCCTTGGAACTTTGTTTCCACCCCCGCAAACTTTCCTCGAGAGAATAGAAAAAAAATAGAGAAATGGTAAAAAGGAAGAAAGTTTTAAATTCTTCCTGATTGTCGTTTCAAAACTTTGTTTATTCTTCTTTTCTTCGAGAAATGGACATTGAATGATTTGGTATAATGTATACTTAATGTAAATTTTATTAACATTTATTCTGGGGAAAAAATGGTATTATGTTAAATTGAAAATATATATTTTACTCTATTAATTTTTAGTATTTCAATATAAATTATTTATAATACTTATAAATTGTAATATATTTGTATGTAATTTATAATATATAATATATTTGTATGAGATTTTAATCTCATATTTATCGTTTATTATAATGTATTTTCATCATTTTTATATTTTAGATATTAATTTTTAAAGTAATTTGAATAGATAATAATTTTTTATTAAATAAATTCGTTCTAAGAATTAAAATTTAATTAGATTAAAATTTAAGACCAAGAATCTAATATTTGTATTAATTATTTTCAGATATTGAAATATTATTTTGATGTGAGTTTCTGTTCACAGCACTGAGAATATAATAAATATTGAATAATGAAGTGTGAAACAACTGGATCTATACTCTGAAGAAAATTCCATATGCAAAAGAGAAATTCTTGCTTGTGTAAAAACTATAAAGATCACAATACAATATAACTTGGCCAAATATAAACTATATGAAATAAAAAGTGAGTATTAATAATTTATTTACATATGCAGACTAATATTTTATTAATATTTCTATTAATATTATTTAAATAATATTAATATTCTCAATATTTTATTTATAATACTATTAAAAATAAAAATGTGCTTAGAAATATTAAATAAAAATCTGAAAACAAAAATATGAAAGTCACAAAATACTGAAATTTAAAAATTATTAAAAATTTACTAGATAAATACATATTAGATAATCTGCCAATGCGGAAAATTTTAAAAAATCAGATTTTAATAATCAACGACAGTAATACCGTACCAGATCAGCCACGAGCAAACAAACATATTCGAACACGCGAAGCATGCTTCTTCGAACAAATTAACCTTATTTCCGCTGATGCAACTATAATCGCCAGATCGTAACACACCAGAAAACCTTGCATTTTCTATTCTAATTATCCAAGAGAGTATTCAAAATAATTGTAGAGGAAACTGTGAACAAGTTGTTTATAAGTCAATTGCAAAGTATCTCTTGGTATGATGAATTTTTCTTCAATATTTTTCTCTTTTTGCTTTTTATTTTCTTTCATCCTTTTTCTTCTTGATCTATTTTTTAGATCTTTTCCTCGTTTTAATGTTTACGTTATAATATCCAAATTTTTCTATTTTTCTGTGTAATAGATTTTTTTTTTATATATTTTAATAATTCTTTTGATCTTTATTATTTACTTTCTTTTTTCTTTAATTAAATTTTTATTTTAATTATTCATTTATTTTAAAATTGTAGAAAATTATAAAATGAAATGTATATTAAAAATAAAATAAATTTATTTTTTAAAAAGGAATAAAAATTTGCATTTCTTAATATTTTTTTTGTAATAGTTTTTTAAATGAAAATAAATTTCTTCCATGAATCTCTCCATCTTCAGTTGAATAATATTCATATTTTTATTCTAATCTCTGATTTATTTTCAATCTTTCTTTTTTATTCTTATGCTTACATCTCTGTTTCCATCCTCTGAACCACGCCTCTTTTTTCCGAATCTCTGACTCTTAATCCCTCTTCATTTGATCCCCTTCTCTCTTAATCCGCGTGTACGTCTCTTTGAGCTCCCCTTTTCTAGGATTTCATGCCTTAATCTCTTTAGTTTCTGACCCTCCTTTCTCTAGGTTTTCTCCTACTCTTCTTCTACGAGTTATCTTCTATAGATGAAGAACACTTCTTCTGCATTCCCCCTCTTTTAATTCTTCTATTTAGATCTTTCTTCAACCTCTCTTCAGCCTTGAATTCTCATATCTTTTGATCTGCCCATACGGTTTCTTCTAATATTCCTCTGTTTTTCATTGATTTTTTTTTTTCTTTCCTCCTCTTTCAAACTTGTTTTTGCTCCATTCCAGAAAAGAGCTCCAGGCTCTTTTTTCCTTCCATTCCAAATGTTTGAAACATTTCATATAATTCCGATTTTTTCCTCGCTACTCCATGTTTTTAAACTTTATTTTAAGTGTTTTTTCATCTTGTGAAGTTTTTTTTATTAATAGATTGCTTTAGATCCTTCAGATTTTTTCTTGAGATTTTTTTAAACTTCAAATTTGTTTTTGTTGGAATCCTTCTTCCTTTTTTCACTCTCTGCAGCATTTCATTTTTATTATAATTCTATTTTTGTCTTTAGTATTTCACATTTTTAAATCTTATTTCAAGTCTCTTTATGTTATGAAGATTTTAATTAATAAATTATTTCAGTTTTTTTTTATTTTTTTCTTTGAGTAATTTTTCAAGGTTTTAAATCTCTCTTAGATCTCTCCTCTTTAAAATCCTCTTCTTTGGACTTCTTTTCTCTATGTCACAATTTCACTTTCTACTAATATCTCTTTCTGCATTCTTCTTTTTCACATTCATTTTCTTTAATTCTCTCCTCTTTAGATACTTCCTCGCTAAATTTTTCACTTCATTCAATGTCATTTCCTCTATCTTCTTTTGTCCCAAACTGACCTATCTTATTTCTCCCTCCTTTTTCTTATTTTCATGGTCGTGTCTCTGAAACTATCTCCTTTTAAGATTCTTTCTTCATTTCCTGGTATTTTTTCCAGCTTATCCTTTCCAATTAAACCCTCCGAGATATCTGTTTCATTTTTATTTTTTTTCTTCTACTATTTCACTATTTTATATTTCTTTCTTTCTCGTTTCCATCTTTCTTAATCATTTTCTTTATTACTTTTATTTATTTCTTCCTTTTTTTCTTTCTTCTTTAACTTTAACTTAACATTCATTTCATCCTCATTTCTATTTTTCCTATTTCTATTTTATTTCACTATTGATAAGATACTGTTTTTTTTTATAATATTTTATTTTCCTATATTTTTTAATTCTTCTCTTTCCTAGTCACACACAATGACTCAAAAATCTTAAAACATTTGTTACATTTGCTTGAAAATTTTGTACATTTATAAAACGAAGACAACAATTTCATTAAAAAATGCAATTCAATTAAAATTATAATCTTCTTTCAAATTTCTCATTCGATACTCGACATTCCTCAATTCTTCACCACGACGGTCACTTTTCTATCTCTCAATCATCTTTCTCTATTCCGCCTATTTTTTTTTACCCTTCTTTTTTTATTTCTTTTCCATCTATCGCCTTTAAACCTTCTCTTCTTTCTCCTTTCCTCACCCTCTGCTTCCTTCAATCCCTCCATTTTCCAAACCAAAAACGCGGCAAACCCACAAACGAACGACACAACGATACGCACCTGTGCTTTCATACTCTCTGCCTCCACCATTCCCTCTTTGATCTTGTGTCGCAGACTCTAACACACAAAAAGAAAGAGAGAGAAAGAGGAGGAGGGAGAGAGAAGAACCAGGGCCAAAAACGGTCTTCAAAGCATAGATTTACATTATATCAACGCTTTTCGTCAAAAATATTTTTCTATTCCACTCATATCTCCGAGATACAAACAAATGCATCATCCAATGCACACTCCCTCAGATCAGTTTGCAAGATTTTTCAGAATTGTTCGTGAACGTGGAAAGTACGATACTCGCGAATTTTTAGCCAATGTAAACGCGGCATTATAATTTTTGGTTGAAACCGTTATGCCACGTCCACGCTTATTTTCAGGGAGCATGAGAACGTGGACACTTCACAGTGAAAAATAAACAAGTTACAGTGAACTCGTCTGCGAACAGTGGATAGTATTTATTCGAGAAACAGTGCGTCAAAGAATCTGTTTGCGAATTCAGACACTGCTGTAATGCCGCACTGTTCTAGAGTGGACACGATACTTTTGTTATTTGCAAACAAATGTGAATTAGAATTGTGACTATTGATCATCAATTTTCAATGATTGATGATATTATTGAAATATCGTTAACGATCATTTTTATTTTTTCCTTATTCTTAATAAGTTATTATTAAGACACGTGAAAATATTAACTCTAATAAAAATAAATTTATTGAAAAACTGTATTGTATAAACTTGAGCTAATTTTATTTACGTTATTTTTTAATGATATTATCTTAAAAATCATAAATCTACTAATTACGTCTTTAATAATAATATCTTTTAATAAGAAAAGATAGAAGTTTCACTTATTTTTATTCATCAATATCTTGACACTCTATGGCGGTTGAACTTTTCCAAAAAATGAAAAAGAATTATCTATCGATTTTTTTTTTGCATACATGTTCAACACAAGTATTGTCATCAGTATGCACGGCTATTTTGGATTTCGTTGCATTTTTTTCTCATTCTTTTTTTTTTTTTTTTTTTTTTTTTTTTTTTTTTTTTTTTGATACTCTATTGAATGTGTTAATAGACCATCATTCAGAATAGTTCGCGCGGAAACCAGAATGAATCTCGAACTTTTGTCGAACTTTTTTTCCAAATACCAAATTTGTAAACCTGCTAGTAACACTGCTTCCTCATTTTTTTTTTTTTTCTTTTTTTTTTCTCTCCCTATATGCCGTTGAATAATTCATTCTCGTGCTATTCGGTTGGTTTTTTGCCTGGAAGGGTTTCAATTTCATGGCGTCTGCATGGAGTCCTTTGAACGCATGTTCATTCGATTTTGTCTGTAGTTATGTTTTCCACAACTCGGTACAACGAGTGTTTAACTCTTTGTGTACTGGATACAATTCTTTTTTTCCTCCTTTTTTCCGGGAGAAAAGAGGAGTGAATACGCTGCCTAGCGAAGTGTTCTGAATGTTTCTTCATATGATGTGAGATACGCATGGAAATATGAAGTGGGATGTAAGAACATGGTTTAATTATTTTGTTTTTTAATTACTTTCTTTCGTGAGATAAGATTTTTATCGTTGATACTAGTCTCTTCAAGATGATAATTAATCATTATTTGGATTTATTTGAATTTTTGTTAAAATTAAAAAATAGAATTGATTGTAGACGAAATTGAAAATAATTAGATTGTGAGAATAAAAAGAGAATTAAATTAGACTTAATCTGATTTGAAGTTTATGAGTTAATAATGGATATGTGAGATTAATATAGTGTATAGTATCAATAGAATTAAAGAAATTCTAAAATAAATATTAATCTTAAAACTTCAATTATAAGAACTTCTTTACATTAATACAATTTTATAATTTTTCATAATGATTCGTGAAAAAATCCTTTCTTACTGTTCTATTTTTTTTTTGTTTTAAAAGAAAATTTAATTAATTTTTTTGAAGTACAAGAATAAATTTTAAAACCGAATTGATCGTATATTTTTAATCAATTGCACATAACGATCACTAGCCCCGTAATAATGATAATTAATTTTCGAATTCAATTTTAATAACATTTTACTAATTTCGAAACGCGTTCGAATTTAATTGCATTTTACGCAGGCTTACGCGTTACATACAAGAATTACAATTTGGATCATCAAAGCAATTTGTTGTATTTCTGATATTAAACTGATTAGTTGGTTCCAAATTATTCAGTTGCATTCTCGGATTCACGATCGTTTCGCGTAGTAAACGCTTCATGAAATAAGCTTTAAATAGAAACAAACGTTTCACTCGTGAAATAATCTTTAACTTTTTATTTAAAACCAATTATACTTTAAAAATTCAGAATAAGATATCATTGTTCGTTTCAATTTAATTTTAAATTTATTTAAAATTAAATACAATGTTTAGATTTCAAGAAATTAATATTTTATTTCATTTTTCAGAGAAACGACACAGTTTGGAAACAAATCTACTCTCTACAAAATCTATATAGAAAATGAAGAACGAAATCTTTAACATCTGAAGAATCTAAAGTTAAACAAAAGAAGATCCTATTATTTCACATAACAATTAAAAAAGAACAATGATCTATTGCTCAAAACTCATCTCCATTCTTCTAAAAAGTTCCTTCATAAAAAAGAAAAACAAAAAAAACTAGAAAAACTCAATCAATAAAAATTAAAACCAAGAATTCAATAGAATCCGTAATCCATCTACACGAAAATAAGAAAAAATTTCAAAGAAAATGCTCATCAGAAATTTTCACCGTGAATCTCCAACGTCGAATCGAAATTTCCTCAACAAAAATAACGACGAGGAAACCAGCAACTCCGTCTCAAAATCCATCTCCAATCTTCCGAAAGATCCTCCCCTCTTGTAGGGAAGAGAGAGAGAGAGAGAGAGAGAGACCACCGAGAGGATCTCGAGGAGTATTCCCTGTGAAAACAGATCCTTGGTGGAGGCAAACAGCGTCGAAATTTCACTGCAACCTATATGGAGAAACACGTTGGACCCTTGGGAGAGGATGGGAGAAAAAATTCGGCCGCGATAAATTCGGATCAGCGGCGTGGATAAATCGAAGGCAGGGAGAAATCGAAGGGAGAGAGGGAGGAGCCGGAAGAGGAAGATCGCGCGACCGGATAAAACCTCGTGCGAATAAATTGAAAGAAATACACAAGGACAAAGGAGAGGTGGAGGGAGGAGTGGTGTACGGTCGAAAACGCTGATAAACGGTTGAATAATGGACGGACAAATTGCAGGAACAGAGGAGGATCGCGTGATAAACGTACGGACGATGCAAATCCTTTTGGGCAAGGCGCGGACGTTCCGGAACTGGATGGGAAGCACGGCGTTTTCGCGCCCCGTTTCCAATTTTTTATCGTGGAAATGACGATGACTCGTTGAATTTTCGATGCGAACTCCTTTCTTAGATCTTTCTTAATCGATCGAGATGAAGGATTGAGGATGAAAAAGAAAGTTTGGAGAGAATAAGAGGAAGAAAAAGAATTTCAAGACAAAGGATTTGGAATTGAAAGGAAAATCTGTATTTAATTGTTTAGGAAGAAAGAGGAGACGAAATAAATTTAGAAGAAAAATATAAACCTCGCGAAATATCAAGGAAAAAAGAGAATCTCGGGAAGAAGTTCGAAAAAAGAAGAATCAGGAAGGAAGCCCATAAAGGGGAAAATCTGAAGGTAGTTCAACGCCGCAAATCCAATTTTAAAAGCTTCACGTGAGATTAAACGCCACTTGAACGCTTCTCCCATGACTTTAAACTCGCTTCTTAATGGCGCAATACGTTCCACCATGTCCACGGCTATCAAGCGAGAATTACAAACTATCCTGTTGGAAAAAAGTTAACAGCTGATCGTAAAGAGAATAAACCACACATAATAAAAATCAAGTGCAATTTTCTCCAACAGTGTTCTTTTGTGTTTCTTTAAAGAAAAACTGCATCTAGGACAGTGATTCTAATCTCGATTTAGATTTCAAATTTCGAGAAAAACAATAATGATAAGATCGTGATGATAAGACAAACGTAATAAACGACCTAAACGAATTAAAAGATAATTTATCTGAAGTGATATTTTTCGTTTCTTTTTCTTTTTTTCTTTTTTTTTTTTTGTTGTTGTGATCGTGAGATTTTTGTTGTTGAAATTAATGAAAATGATGACGACTACTGCCGGTGTTGGTGGGGCCGGGATGCTGAGGACCAGGCGAAGGGATTGCAGCGTGAAACCGAACAGGAAACTCGACCGGAAATCCTCGAGGGGGATGATTTATGAGAACGAGGAGCTTAGACTGAGGACTATTCACATTAACGCCGAAGTGGAGCAAGGTAAAGGATTTATGATATTATCGGATTACTGTGTTGGTAAATGTTAGTGTTGTTCAAAGATGTTCCTCACCGATTTCGTAATAAGCGGTAAATTTTTATTGGAAACAGTCATATTGATATATAGGTATGATTTTAATTATGGATCCATATTATTTATTACAAGGTTTACTTTAAATTATAATAATCATGAGTAAAAGTTCTTTATAATTCGATTAGTTATAAATAATGTATAATAATGTGAAATAAACATTTAATTTATATTTGAAAAGAAAAATTTAAAGGAAAATTGAAGATAATAGATTATTCTTATGGAAAAAAATAAAAATTGAAACATAATAGACTTGATAGAACGAATTTATAAAATGAAAAGAAGAAATTTCAAAAAGGACGTAATTCGAATAAATCGTCTCGAAAGAAATACAGACTAGAGTTAGATGTTTTTGAAAAAGGAAACGGTTCTTACTAGGCCGTTAGAGAGTTTCACCCGCAAACGTTAGCAGCACTGCTTGACCAGTTCTTTTCCGCCACAAATAGACGCACCATCGTCGAATCCGGTGCGAACTATTTTCGAAACTTAGCCAAACGCGCCAACTTCGTGTCTGGCCGGCAGCTGTCCATGGCAGCTCCAGCCCATTCAATCTCTATCAATCGCGAATTTTATTTAATAATTATTATCTCAACAATTATTGATAAATATTACTGATAAATATTTCCTTTGTAAAAAGTCTCAGATCAAGTTCAAATTTGTGCAATAAGTAAAAAGAGAAAGAAAGTATAAAATGTAATGGAATATTTATTACGTTAAAAAAATTTGCAGGAAAAAAAAATCGAATTTTTCGAATTCATCTTTAATTCGTGAAAATATTTATCGAAATTTGATGTATCGAGAGTGGAATTTTCAAAATCGTGGATAAAGACAAGTGATGAATATAAAATACGAGTGATTCAAATGGATCTCTTCACTATTTTAAACAATTGACTGAAAGATTCTAATGACGGTGAGTATGTTGATTTCTTTTTTTTTTTTCTTTTTTTCTTTCTATTTTTGTCTATTACATTTACACAAAGTTAGAAATAATACGTTTGTTGTGGGTTTACATGCAGATTTATAGTATCAATATGGGTAATGTTGAAATTTTGAGGAGAATAAACGTGCGTTATATATTGTATAAACATTTTAGATTGAAATATGTCGTAAATGGACTGATTATGTAAGCAGTGTTCAATGGTATTCGTGCGACGTGAGAAAGATATTCGAATCATAATGATGATTTAGATGACATACGTTATATTTTCCAGAATCATGTCGGATATTCTTCCGTGAAAATTTGTCAGTGGTTAGGAATATAATAGGAACGCTCTATTCTCTTGAGATTTATTAACTTTTAGAAAATTCATAAATTCTGTGATTCATAATTCATAAATTTTGAAATTGATTATAAACACTTATAAATCTTTAAACTAAATATAAATCTGTTGAAATAGTAGAAAAATCAAATTCAAAATTTCTAATTGAAAATAATATAAATAATTTAATATTATAATTTAATAATTTAATAAAAATAGAAAATAGAAAAATAAAAAAATAGAATAGGATATTTAAGAAAAAATGATAGTAAGATAATAAATAAAAGTATATTTACTAAAACACTTAAATCAAACAATAAAAATTAAAAATTATTAACTTAGATATCCTAAAAAATTTAATATTAATAATAAATTGATTAAAACAAAACAAAAAAATAGAAAACAAATTTTTAAAACTATTATCTGAATATCCAAAAGAATTATCGCATAACGAAAAATGGAAAATAGAAATATCGATAATTCTAAAATTTTTCATCAGAAAGTACGTGAATGAAGTTGTACGCGATAAGAAGAAAGTTTAATAACGAAAGAAACTTTGATGGAGAGATACAAGTGAACGATGAAACGTTTAAAATGTGTCGAATATTTTCATATGGGCAAAGAATCGCGAAAACTCGGCTATTTTCTCGAAAATTTGTTTATCCGTTGAGCCAAGAAAAGCTTTGTTTTGGCAGCAATGCCCGCCCACGAAGAACGTTCGCTCTACCAAAGCTCTAGAAACCCAGATGTCGTCTCTATACTGATTCTCGACAAGCGACGTTCAACTTGGGCGGGAGAAAATATATTTTGAAAGTTAAAACAGTTTCATATCGTGTTAACATTGCTCACTGTTTATTATATCGTTGGAAATCGTAATAAAAAGAGAAATATACTGTTAAAGTCCATGAATCTGTAAAAACTTTATATTTCATTTAATATTTTAAAGAAACGAAAGAAAAGATTTCTTTATTTTTTTTTTAATTTTCTCAATTTTTTTAATTCTATGTACAGTTTATTTTTTGAAGTTGAATACTGAATGCTTGAAATAATAATTTAATGTTTATGATAAGGATTATGAACTCGCAAACTGGATTCAGGTTTCGACCAACTTTGTTTGCCTTTACGTTTCCTGAGAAATTTGTTTATTGAAATTTGTTTGTCCGTTCCATCTAACTGTATAAGTTTAAGTTTAATCTTAAGTTTTCTCTTGTAACTAGTGTAAACAATTTCGAGCAAGAAGTTGAATAGCAAATTAGCAACTATGTAGCAAATTAAAAACTATGTTATTCGTTACGAAATTCTTAAATAGACAAGAATTATATTATACTTTTTTGTGGATAAAAATAAATTATCAAAATATGGCCAATTGTTTTAAAATAAAGTTTTAGGTTATACAATATTTGTATACATATCTTTAAAGGATCTACCATTTTACTAAATCTCAATCATTCTAAACTTCCATTTTGATATTTTCTTTAAAAATAAGAATCTAAAAATCTTTTCTTCTTTTGCCTATAATTGAAAAACTTAAATTTTCAATCAAGTTTCAAACTCGAAGAAATAATTTTAAATTCACTGAATTTTTTCCAACTCTATTCGTCACAATTTTCACGTCTCTTCTCCGGGACACTTGTGATTTCGAGAAGTCCTGAAATCCAGACGCCCCTTGCGTCACACTTGAATTATTTCCAGGCGTTTTTAAAACAGATTACATTGGTGCGTGAAAGAAACACACCGTGTCCTAATCAACGATTCGTCATCCCACGTATTTTCTTTCATCCGTGTTTCACGACTAGGGGAAAAGACAAAGATGTTTTCGTCACGATATTTATCATGGATAGATGAAATTTGAAACTCAGGAAAATTTATTTTATTATTCTTCTCCGTGTTTAATCTTCCATCGAGATGAACTGTGAAACGATTGGAATTGAATGGAAATACTTGAAAGTAAATTAACATGTATTTGTGATTGTGTATTTTAATGAAGATTCTATAATGGAAGACTATTGGAAATTGTAAGAATAAATTTTATAATTAAGGTGAGAATAAATTTTACAATTAAGGTGAGAATAAATTTTTGGAAAGTTTATTATTATTATTTTCTTAGGATTATATTAAATAATGTCAAAATTAAAATTTTTAAGAAAATTATCGACTGAAAAGTTTATTTTTGTATTTTTATTTCAGTAGTTTTAAGTTTATTATTAGGCAAAAAAGAAAATTTTATATCTATTTGATTTTATGCTATAGGTATGAAAAGATATACAATATTAATGTTCTATTATTTTTAATTAAATAATAGAAGAAGTAAATATAGAGAAGTTTTCCAAGTAATTTATAATAGTTTTTGGTAGCTGAAAATATCTGAATTAACAGAAAAATACGTTGAAAAGGATTATATTATATTTAACCATTTATTGGAAATCCTTTTCCAAGGAATTTTCATATTTCTTGGTAAATTATTTTGGAATTTAAACTTGTTAACAATAATATTATATTATGATATACCAAAGATTGTTATTTCTACGTAGTATTTTACTGAAAAATTTCACATTATTTTTTTATAAAAGTTTATTTTTAAGAAAAGTTGAAACAATGAAAATGGAATTATTAGTAAAATTTTCAAACATGTCATCGTGAAAATTTATTATAACTATGTTTATAGCAATTAATAAAACTTTTTAAATTTTTTATTTATGCTTTTATTTTCATATTTCAGTTTCAATTTCATATCTATTTTTTTAACAAATAATAAAGAATTGCTCAATATATTTATTAATTACGTGGAACTTCCATCTATCATTTTTGTAACCGGAGAAAAACTCTCAATCAACCAAAAAATATACAACGAATAATTATTAACAAAACAAAATATTACGAAATGATGAAATTTAAAATAATAAAAAATGAAATTCCATCGACCAGACAAAAATTCCTCGATGAGCAATACCACTAAACATCCACTAAACCACCAGAGAGAGCGAAATTCCAACAAAGAGTTTCACAATGAGTCAAACCCTCTTCCAAAGTATAAATTTTGGCCAACAGGCTTTCGAGCGGTGAAACCGACCAAGAAACCGCGAAAACCACCCCAAAGAAGATCCCTGCGAAACGATCCCCCCAAGATCCCTGTCAAACCCGAACAAACCAATATCTCTTTGCCACGTGACGAACAGAGTCTTGGTCGAAACTGGTCTCGTTGCCAGCAGCTAGTACAAAAGATTTAAATAGTCGCGCGCGCGACCGAGAAATAAGGAGAGGGCTGACGGGCTTCATCCAGTCATCGGCTGACTAGTTTTCTTCAAAACGACAACCGTGTCGGTCACGAAATATTCGTGTTTTTTTTCCTTTTTTTTTTTCTTCTCCGACATGTCGAGAAGAAAATTGTTGAATCGATAAATTGATTTTTTTGAAAATTTGATGTTTGATTATAAATCAAAATAATTTGATGTTTGATTTTTAAATCGAAAATCATCAGTTCGATTGAAGAGGATTGTTTAGAGAAGTTTGAGCCGAATTTATGGTGATGATAGAAGTTAACGTGTGATTTGACGTGGATTCGAAAAATTTTGAAGAGGATTAAAAATGATCTTTAATTTTTGTTGAAAGGAGGAGATTTTTAATGAAAAGAGAATGGTCAGTTTTAATATATC